CTCCCACATCTGACGAGAACTGGGCCGGGTCGGAACCAAGGGCAGACCCAAGATATGCTGTTGGCGTCCTTTTGTTCTAACTCATCCCTCCATTCTACAGTCAGGCGTCGTTGGAGGGGGATTTTGGAGAAGCTTCTCAAGGGGTCGGGGAATGTCCCCATGTGACTGGAGGCGTAAAGGTGCGTGATGCTCCACACATAAAGTAACGAAGAGCAGCAGCGGAGTGTTCTCCCTTGCTTCTGATGGCAGAAATCCACCGAGAGCAAGGTGTCGGCAAGAATAGCAGGCAGGGGACTCTTCGAGTTCACGTCCCAAGCGAAGAAAGCGTCCATGACGGCTTGATCGATCGTGTCGAGGTGGAAGGGGAACAGGATCGTTCCGAAGATTATTAGCGCCAGGGTTTTATTGAAGGCAACCCACTCTGCCCTTTCAGCCAGGTAGGACAGGTGGTCTTCTAACATCGATACTCTCCATCCCTGGGTGTTCCCTCTTCCTATCAGGGTACTTTGTCGGTACGGCAGATGGATAAGGGCAGCGACTGGTGCTGCAGGAGTATACGCCTCATGGCGGATATGGACCCCAGCTGATTTGGGCCATTTCAACATTGTTTCATACTCCTCTAGGGTAGGCACCATGTCAAACTGCGGAAATTCAAAGCACCGCAGACTGGAGTTCCAAAAATGAATCAGTACCCTGAGGAAGACTTGATCGACACTAATCTTTAGGAGGTCCAAAATCCGTCCATAGGATTTTTCAAAATCAGCGCGGACCTCCGGTGGCATTGTTGCACTCAGCTGTTCTAGCTTCTTAGTATGGCTTCGGAGAATATCCACCTTCCCCACTTGCCTACTTGTTCCCTCCATTTTCTAAAACCAAAATGTATGATTTGATGAAGATGATGTTTATTGAATGTGAGTGTTTATTTTGCTATTTATCATGTTTTTCTACATGATGTATGGTATTTGCGTATATTTTTTTTTTGAAAGAATAAACTATCTATATGAATGTTTTATGAATGCGATATTTTTGGACCAGGTCTTATTCGTGAATTTTGAAAAAAATGGATTGTTTATTGTTTTTATTTCTTTATTTTATTTTATAGCCTTTTATCTCTTCTGTCGGACTGCGTGGCTACTTAGCTTACAAAGAACCTGAAACCAGGCTAGCTAAAAGGCAGACTGTCCGAGATAAAATATGGCTTTATGCAAAAGAATATTTAGCGTCCCTTATCTCTTCTGTCGGAACTGCGTGGCTACTTAGCTTACAAAGAACCTGAAACAAGGCTAGCTAAAAGGCAGACTGTCCGAGATAAGGGTGTTTATTTGCAAAATATATTTTTGGTGATTTTGTTCTGTTGTTTGTTTATGCTATGCAACATACAAATGCGACAATCATATGCATACACAATTCGACCATCCCCGAACAGGCGAGATTTCGTTTTTATCACGAGGTAGGGTTTTCCTGCAGAAAAGTGCATTGGTCAGGGTAGGTTCTAACTGTTCTCACCAGGCTAAGGCCCCCAAGGTGCCCCCATTATAGGGTTCCCACTCTCCAGCCGTCCAACCATGCTCAGCACTAAGGCCAGAGTCGGTCTTGTTGCCAAAAGAGGAAGGTTATCACCTTGAGTGGTGGTTTCCGATCACACCGGTGGGCACAAGGCCCTAACTGCAGCAAACCGTACCTGCCACCCACTCCCTATGGTTATCTCACTTGCCCCCGGGTATAGGGGGAACTGTTGTGTGCAAGGGATTGTGTGCAGTTTATATTTCAAGTAATTTGCAAGTATAAACAATCAACGATTTATTAAAGCCAAACAATAAAACATGTTATAAATACAAGTTAAGGGCAAAAGTGTTATTTTCTTGGTTTATTTATTGTTTAAGCCGGCCCATCACTAAATGGGATTAACTCTCTAGGCTTCCCCAGTGGAGTCGCCATCTGTCGCCGCCTCCCCGAAAACGGGGGCGCGGTCGGAGCGACGCGATGGTTTTTTTTTCGACCCTCTTTGATTTTCGCGTTTTTTATTGGTGGTTACAACGTCCTTAGGTTGTCCGATAACCGGGCTAACCTAGAGACGAGGTTTTCGAAAGTATCCCTGGGTTGTCCGATAACCGGGCTAACCCAGGGACTTATTTATTTTGGGTTCTATGGAGTCGCCACCGATGTTTTTACCGGAAACATCGGAAAAGGGGTTTTGAAAGGCGTTGGTTTTTGAAAACCAACTTTGGTCATTAGAACCAGAGTTGGGTAAGGGAGTTGGTTACGTGCAAAGGGAGTATTAGTCCCTTTACGATGCCCCTTTCGGGTTCCCTATGACAGGCCGGCTTATTTTATTGATAAACTAGAAAAATACACTTTCGCCCTTTTTATTCTGCGGAATTTAAAAGTATGACTACATGGCCCTAATATCTATTGCATAATTTAAGATAAAAACGGTAAAGATGAAGGGAGAGAATTTGAACCTTCGAAGCACGCTTTTTATATTAATTCTCTAAAAAATAGGGTGCTTTATGGCAGCCCTTCACTCTACAAGACATCGAAAAACCTCTCGAACGCCGAAAATCACTCTTGAAAGCACTCAGAAGCTCCGGAAATGCGTCGGAGGGATTCTAGAGAGAAGTTTTTAGAGAGAAGGGAGAACTATGCAGCTGTGGTGTGTGGAAATGAGGGGGGGAGAGCCCCTATTTATAGGTTTTCGCGCTGTCAGGTGGCGAGACCGCCGGTCTCGTCTGACAGGGTCGAGACCGCCGTCTCGACCTGTCAAAATGGCGAGAACGCCGTCTGAGTGAACGAGACCGCCGTCTCGTCCTTCGCAGGTGGCGAGACCGCCGTCTCGTTAAGCGAGACGGCGGTCTCACTTCCTACGTGAAGCGAGACGGCGGTCTGGGTTGTCCAGAAGGCGGTCTCGTCCCTTCAAAGCGAGAAAACTTATTTTTTGGTACAGAAACTCCCTCCTATCCTAGTATGGGGCCTAATAGTCTCTCCTAATGGCTTGTTAGGCTTGTCCATCTTCAAATAGGAGGTCTTCTGGTCTTTATTTGGAGGCCGGGTAAGATTTGGGGTCTACATCGAATATATGTTGTTCACCTTTCTTTGCTCGGGTCATACACTATTAAAGGTCCTATCGAAATACAAATAGTAGACCGTGAACAAGTACACCAAGTAGGTTCCCAAGAAAGAGAGGTGGGTCACTAATGAGTACGCTTAAGTACTAAGTCTTTCCTAGCCAGAATCCTCCTAGACATGTACTCTCATACTACCAAGCTATATCCAGAATTTCCTACAATAGTGCTTATCGAGCACTTCCTACAAGATAACTATATCTAAAATTTCCTACAAAAATGGTTATGGAGCACACAAAAACAAAATTTAATTACTTTTCTTTTTGAATTTTTTTAAATAAAGCTAGAAAAAAAATTAATTTTTTTCAAAAGAGTTTTTTTTTTAATTTTTTTGAATTTTTTTAACTAAAGCTAGAAAAAGAAAATTAGAAAAAATTGATATTAGGCAATGTTACACATCACAATTGTATCCCCTGCAACGACGCCATTTGAAAACAGTATTCTGGTCGAACAAAATACTGATAAAAAATAATAAACAAGTTGCTAAACTAATGTAGTATAGCTAACCCGTGTCGAATCTCACAAGGACACAATTATAGGAACATACTCAAGTATCACATATCATTCTCTATAAAACAAGTAAATAGGGGGATAAATGAAAGAGTGAAAAAGAAATAAATTGATGCAGAATACTAAAAATTAAAATTAAATTGCTATAAAATATTGATGACAATTAAAATTAAACAGAAACAGAATTTAAATAACAGAAATTTATAAAATTAAAATAAAGTGCTTTAAATTAAAAGTGCAGGAATAAAAAATCGCTTTGAAATAAAATAGTAAAGTAATTAAATTTGAAATTTCGAAAGCGATAACTCTAAAATAAAATTGTGAATTTGAATTGGAAACGAGACGAATTGAAAATTAAAATTATGTAATACTGGAATAAAAATTCTAAACAATTAAATAACATAAATTAAAATAAACACTGAATAAATAAAATAACTAGAGCAAGATAAATTGAAAAATTCAATAGAAATTGAAAATTAAATAAAAGAGAACAAACCGGAAGTGCAAGTAGCAGTAGATGAACTCGCCTAACTAAAAACTAAAGTACGAACTCGAGAGTAGGAAAAGAAACTGAGGATGAGACAAGATAACAATTCTCACCCGGGCAAGGAGATTATGATTGTGGTTGTCGTAACACCTCTATTTATAGGGGTTTGAACAAGAGAAATTAAGCCTAAAATTAATTACAATAAAATCAAATATTTCTCAAATAAATAATTACAAAATTTGAATGCTGTGAAGAGAAATTTCTAGGACTGACTTGGAGAAAATAGTCTGTTTCTTTCCTATTTTGAGTGATCCAACACTGATTTGCATTTAATTCTTGATTCCTGCTGGCCTTTAAATCAACTAAATTGGATTCCTGCACTAGTTAATTTGTTTGATTCAAAATTTCCATTTGTAACATTCTTCAAGTGGGTTGCACAAGCAAACTTGGGCTTTTAAGAAGAGTGAAGTTTGACAGCATCAATTTGGACATTTCCTTATATCAATTTGACCCATCTCAAATTACCTCTCTTACAAAAGAAGAAAAAGAAATATGCAATGTGGATGTATGCATGTATATTATTTATTATGCTAAAACTATGTAAAATGCAACAAATTAAGAAAAACTGAATTATGCTATGCTTTTAATGAAAACATGTTAAATGCATGGTTTATGAATAAAATAACTAGCTTAGAAAATGCTCTTAGATAAAGAAATAAAGAGTAAAATGACATACATCAACCACGTAAGGGTCCTCTTCCTTCCTCACCTCTCACATTGCCTCATGACATCTTCGACAACCAACCTGTCTTAGTCCCTTTAACTATCATCGATTGGAAATGGGATAATTCTACTCCCACCTCCTGCCTTTAGGTTTTCAGTGGAATGGGAATCGTGGGATCTTTTTAGAGACCAGTTTCACCTTGAGGACAAGGTGCTATTTGAACAGGGAGGAGATGTAAGAAACATAAGCTCAATTCCCCTCACTCTTGTTGCTAGCACTGAGAGTATAGAAGGGTTGGTTCCTAACACACATGATGACCCACAGAAGGGCCCAAATCTTCCCAACACTGCACTTGAGGAAAGGCCTAGAAGGGAGACACGTCAACCCCAACGTATGAATGATTATGTTGTGACAATTCCAAACAACCGCAAGAAAGGGAATTGTGTTATGCCTAAATGATTAGGGAGAAATCTTATTGTATATATATTTTGTCTTTTTCTTACATGCCATGTGAATAGCAAGATAGAGTATTCCATATATTTTGGTTGTTAATGAAAGAGGGGACAAAAGATTATTCAGTGAAAATACATTCTCTCTGCTTTATTCTACTTTTCTCTACAACTTTCTTTGATTCTTCTGACAAGTATCTTTCAAAATGTCTTCGTGCAATCAACCTCATATGTCTAGGTATATCCTTTTGTCACAACTCTTTCTTTAAATTACTTTATTTTGTAACCTACTTTATGTTTAAGAATGTAAATCCACTTACATCTTACTTGTTTCTTTCCTAGTGAACAATCAACAAGAACCAAAGTATAATTCTTTTAAAGTGAGTTCATCTACACATTCATAATGACCTTCTATCTTCGATCAACTAAAACTTCCTGCAATTTAGAGATAACTATAATAGATAACTTATTTATAAATATTTTATATGTTTCGACGGTCTATTTTATTTTATTAGAGTTATGGTTTATAAGTAAGTTTAGAAATACCTTTAGTGAGACGATTAGACAATTTTTTATGACTAACAAATGATTGTAACATCTTTATTAATATGTTCATGTGGTACTTCAATATTTTCTAGAGATGTTAGAATAGGATTAGCTCAATAAACTAGCCTAAAAAGTCCGAGAAATAGGTCAAGCTAGGAAGACAAATGTATGACTTAAGTTTTATTAGACTTATTTTGGCTTCACCCATTTAGCTCATGATTTATATGGGCTTAGGTCAGGCTAGTCCTTAGACTTATAAGCTAATCTATTTTATAAATAATACTAATTTTTTAAATAAGAATAAAAGTAATATTATTTTATTAAAAAATATAAGAGTAAGTCTTTAATATCTACTTATTCAAATATTTAATAATTAAGATGAATTACTATTTTAGATTAATAAATTACTAAAAAATAGATAATGATATTGAAGAGTAAATTTTTAATTCTTATTTTGGGATTGAATAATGTCTTATATTGTAATTTATATATTAAATTATTATATTTAAAATAAAATTAATTTCATTAATGTAATTTAAATTTAAAAAATATATATATTTTTTAAATTTGTTTAATTAATTATTTTGATATAGATACATTAATATATTTTTTTAATTTTCAATCAAACCAAAATTGGCTTATTAACTTGTTGGTCTAACATAGGACTAGACTAGTTAAAAAATTATGGTTAGCTTAAAAATATAGGTTAGGTTGGGCCATCAAATATTTTTTAAGTGGTTCATAGGACCAGATTAGGCTTAATTGGGCTGCCCGTTTTGATAACCCTAATATTATCTTCATTTAAAGACTTATGTAACACTTCAATGTTATTTACACCAAAAGCTTCATGTGGGACTTCAATGTCATTTCCAATAAGAGATTAATGTGGAGCTTCACTTTCGTTTCTACAAGATTCTTATAATGATTCAATATTAGTTTCTTCTTCATCTCCTAAAAGATGATGATTTGAAATTGTATCACTTAGATCCATATTATATACTAAAGTCTAAATTTTATACTATAGAATACGAATTTCTTGGATTTCTTACTGGTTTCCTTCCTAAAAATCACATTTGGAAGAAAAATACATTATGTCTTTATAAATGTGTCTTTATAAAATCACATCCATAATAAATGAATAGTAATCATATATTGGGATTCTTGCATATTTGTAATACCTTTATGAGCTTCTTAGGGTCTTTGCTGCTTGTGTTGGCCTTGTCCTAACCATCTTATTATTGTCATATGTACACGGTACAACATGTAAAATAGTATATCTATAATGAACAAATTTGTATATCTACAATATGTATAATATAATTACATTGATCATTTTTTTTATTAACTCATTTTTTAATAGTTGAACTGGTCATAACTTTTAATTTTGAGTAGTATGTTCAATATGCAAGATTGAGCTAAAGATCCTCAATCTAAGGAATCAAGATTTTAAATTGACACAATATATTTAACCCAAATAAGTTATGCAACATTTAACCGAGTAAGGTGTATATTGAATTATTGGCAAGCGTACCAAAATTATCAATCGCAGTATAGTATTTCGATTAAATAAAAGTCGATCCTACGAGGAACAGTTTCAATGGAAATTCTCAATTATGCTTATTAAGTATATTAAAAAGATTGAGTTTTGCAAATAAGAGTTGAATTGAAATTAAATGACAAAGAATTGTAAATTGTTGAGAAAATATCAATTAAAGGTACTTAGGATTGGTTTCCTTCCTTATCCCTCTTTTGTAATGGCTATGTCAATTAACCTAACAATGTTGATGCCACCTACTCAAATCATCCATGTTGATTCCTCACACATGAAATTCATAAGAAAGCCTAATAAATGTTGATTCCTCACACAATTAATAGATTTTCCAGCATTAGGGTTAGGGTGTTAAGCAATTGAAACATTCATTCCATTCCTGGCAATTAACGTAACAAATATTCTTACCGTGATCTAGGGTTCAAGATATATTTTCCAATCATACCTCAAACAATCAAGAATAAATCATTCCAAAGCATAAAGGATAAGAATAACAACATCAAAGCATAGATTAATATCTCAAAATATCACCATGATACAAAAGAGTTCAAAGGAAGTGCATTGAATCCTAAGAGAATGAAGTTAGCCACTCATGTTGGCCATTACAATGCTCTAATTGATGAAGAAGTGAAGAATTGATGAAGATTGGACAAAACCCTAACAGTAGTCGTGCCTCCTCCTCTCCAAGACTGTTTCCTTTTCTCAAAACACAACTTATCTTTTTATAAGAGAATTTGGGTCGGGCCTCGCATCATTCATTCGCTTAAGCGTTCTTCTTTCTTTCAATTTTACTCCAATTATGCTGACAATTATGCTCCTTACTCTTGTATCAAGGTATTCTCCAATTGATCCTATATTGGGAGATAAATATATTAGAATTAACATAAGTTAAGTGGTTTCATAACAATTCAAGGCATAATTATATCAACTTTTTACCACTTAACAACTCCCCCCAACCTAGAATCTTGCTTGTCCCAAGCAAAGTAATTTTTCTAAAACAAAACCATCGCCTATTATCCCATTCTCTTCCAGAACTACAACATAAAAATTTTCAGAAGTGATGCTCTCAACTCCAAATGAAAATAGAACACGTAAGCATTTAAGTTATAGAAATCAACAAAGAATAATTAGTCACCAACTATCCTCAGAGAAGCATGATCTCTCAAATAGAGTTACATATACTCATCTCTAATTCTCACAGGTAAGTGTTTATCTCATTCAATCACTTCATTTAGACAATCCAATATTGATAATCATCTTCAAGCAATCAACAATTTAAACAAGACTTAAATCAAAAGGTCTTTTGAGGCATGTAATGAGGCTGGGCTAAGAAAGAATTATTGGTTTTTCTGGGATATACAAAAATATTTGAAAAATTCAACTCATATGAATGATTCTTGATTAACAATTCCTCAAGTCAGGTTTCAAACTTCATGCTTTTGTTCCTAACACAATGATAGTGAGTTAATAATCTCACAAGTTATTATTCCCCCCTTGAATTATTTATATAAATAAATATTTTTTTCATGCTTTTGCATGTATTCTTTTTGGCTTTGCCAATTTTTTTAAGCTTTGCTTTTCCTTTTTCTTTACACATTTTTTTTTAACAATACACCCCAATAATACCCGTAGGACAATAATAGCAATACCCAACAATAAGAAAAATAGTGACATTCATACTCATTTCCTTTCTCAAATATAGGAAGGTAGATAAATAATGTTAGGCTTAAGGGTTTTATTTAAGAAACAATATTATTTTTGGCTCGAAGGGGTTCAAATGGATGTCCTATAATTAATGCGAGGGTTGGCTATTTGGCTCTGGGTTATATCTATAACAAAGAAAAAAATGTCTTTATCATTTTCAAGTCTTGCCAACATGTAATCACATCAAAGAATCAACCAATATCAGTTATCATCACAAAGTGTTGACACTCAATTTATCTGTTTGTGGTACTCTGCTCACCTAGGTTTTGGCTAGCTTCTCCAATTCGGTTAATTCCTAATTTTCCTCATCAATTCCTTTTCACTATCATACTCAATATCCCAAAATCACTTGTTATTGGAAACAATCAAAATTATTTTTCACGTTCTAGATTTGAATTAGATAATAAGCAATAATCTCATATATGGCTTTAAAACGAATTATGGGACAGCAAGAGAATTCAAAATTTAAAATAAAACAATTAAAAACAAAGGAATTAAAAACATTAAAAATAAAGTAAGTTTCCTCCCATATTTTCTTCACTTGTTGTCATCTACTCCTTATCTTGTGCCTCAGCCTCAGCTGTAGACTTTCTCACCCCCTCCGAAAAAGTTGGACTGTCCCCAGGCCATTGAAGTAAGGCTTCAAAGTCTTGAGGAGAAGTGCACTGTGTACCTAGAGCAATCTTGTAAAAAAGAACCTAAGGAAGAAAAATGCACAAAAAACTTAAATTGCAAAAAGAAAAAAAAAATTCAAAATATTGGGTTGTCTCCCAGGAGCGCTTGTTTAATGTCTTCAGCTCTACGCTTTTTTGATTTAAGGATCATCTAAGTAGATAATGAAAGTGATCCTAGCAAAGATCTCATTGATTTGATGAAGTCAAAGATAAAGTCAAGGGTCAACTCTGCAGCTGTCAAACAAGTCACTCAGAACAAAGGAGCTGAAGACTTAGTGTGTCTTAACAGAAAGCTTAGGTAAAACCACTTTACCTTTTCCACTGCATAAAGCTTCTTCATTCATTTTGCAAAATGCCTCAAAAATAGTTTTAAACAAATAAAAAAAACAAAAGCATTTTGGCAAAGAATTTTCTTAAACAAGTTATTAACTGATACAGGTTTGAAAGAATCAATTTAAAACACTTAGAATGTTTTAAAAAGTGTTT